GGGAGAGAGAGGAGTGGAGAGAGATGGAGAGATGGGATAGAGAGGCAGAGATAGGAGGAAGGAGAGGGAGGGAGGGAGGGAGGGAGGGAGGGAGGGAAGGAGACCATTAAGATATTCAACACAAATTATATCTATATTTGGAGTTTGATGAGACCAGGCAAAGATTCAATCCAGAGATCCTTTTTAAATGAGATTTGGTTGGACAGCCAACTCAAATAGAACTTCTGGATTGGATTGGCTCAGATGAGATGTGACCAAATCACATCTGAACTTCAAAGGCTTTTGTCTCTAGGGACAAAAACCTTCCCCCTCTGGAATTTCTTTATAAGATGGAATCAACCTAATTTGAAGCCTGCAGTCAATTCGTTTTTCCAAATGCCTGTGGATTTACATCGTTCGGGCTTGCTTGGGAGTAAAAACATAACGAATAAAGCTTCCTATAATCTAATGCCTCCTAGATATACACACCCCAAGAAGACCTTCCAGAAGATTCTGGACCTCCTAACCCAGCAGCCACTCTTTTGAATGACCTTTCTGAGTCATATATATAGAATTGTGTTTCTCCGTTTGGAGAGAGCTATATATATATAGCTAAACTCTCTTCAAACTGAGAAACACAATTCTTGAAACTAGCGAGGTTATTTTGGCCCCTCGAATCAAAGCATCTCATGAATTGTAGGGCAGTGGAAATACGACAATAATCAATAACCATTTGCGGCCTTTCCTTGATATTCTAAATTAAATTCTCTGCCATCTAATCCCAATCCAATCCTGGCAAATTTGTTATTAGCCAATCTTAGGGAGAAGCAATACTCTGAAGCTGCAATACTTTCAACAGCTACTCAGTCTGAAATCAAGAGATATTTACACAGGGTCAATCAAGCTGAAATTGAGCTGTATTATATTTATATACTCAGCAGTGTTTGGTGACTTACTGGGACAATGATTTCACCTTCCTTGCTGTGTGTGACCTCAGTAAAGAAATAATAATAATAATAATAACACAGATACACAAAATTGAAACTTGAACCTTGCTTGGCTTACAATCCCTGTGTGTTACATCTAAAGCCACAGCGCATTTACTCAGAGTGACTTAGAAGAGTGATGAGAAAGTTTGGCAAGGGTGACCATGCGGTGGGAACCTAGCCCATCTGATTTATTCGTGGTTAAGTGGATTGTGAGAATCCAGAAAATGGGTTCATCCGATCCCATTCGTCTTAAACAGAAAAACACAAAACAAAACAAAAATAGAATAACAGTTGGAAAGGGACCTTGGAGGTCTTCTAGTCCAACCCCTGCTTAGGNCCCCCCAGCCCGAGCCAGCCCCGCGGCTCCGCGCTGCAGTTCTGCGCCAAGGAGCGAAGCGGCGGCGGCGACGAATAGAAGTTTCAGCCCGACCCGGAGCTCCCCGCGTGACCCGATCCGCGGGTGGGCAGGGAACCAGGCGGAGGGCGGGAAGGAGGGAGGGGGGCGGGGAAGAGAGGGGGGGCGGTCCAGCGCACCTCCTCCTTCCTCCCTGCCTTCTTTCCTTCCTCCCTTCCTTCTCTGCCTTGCCTTCCATCCATCCATCCACGCGGGGAGGGCGAGTACCAGAGCCACCCTCGGATCCCTCCCGGGCTGGGGGGTCTGGCGAGCGAAAGGCGAAGGAGGGGCGAAAAGAAACGCGGAGTGGCGGAGGGGGGGGGAGAGATCCCGGAGGCGCCCCCCACCTTCTTTCCAACAGCAGCAGCAGTAGCACCCGCCCCGCGGTTGCGCGCCGATGCCGGCCCGGCTCTTTGGGTGGTGGTAGCAGTCAACGGGACTCGCACACCGACCGACGCACCATGGAGCAACCCGCGGCTCCGACGGTCGTCGTCCTCCTGCTGCTGAGGCTTCTGGACCCCTCGCTGGCCGGCTTCCCCAACACCATCAGCATAGGTGAGAAGCGGCCCTTTCTGTCTCCCCTCCCCTTCCCCCGTTCCCCCCATCTTCATCTCCCCCATCCTCATCCTCAACTTAAGTGTTGGGTGTTGTGGCTCTCTCTGAAAACTCCCCTTCCCGCTGTCTGTCCTCCCCACGCCGCCCCACTTCCCCCCCTAACTCGGCTGTCATAAATGAGTTTACTTGCTGGAGACCAGTCCGAATTAAGACTACTCCGAATCGATCCCACGAGGGAATCTCAACTGAATGATCAAATGAACCCAAAGGGGAGAGGAGGGTAGTTGGGAAAGCAGGAATGAGCTGGAGTTTAATGCGGGTTGGGGCGCCTGCGGGATCCCTCCCCCGGCTGAAGTTGGGCACTCGGTAAGCAAAGCTCCTTAAAGCCCGCTAGAATAGAAAAAAAATAAACAAATAGAATATAGCATATTTTATTGTCGCTTTGAACGTCTCGCTAAAGCGCCAGGCATTAAAAATGACATCGCGTTGCATCCAGTCATGCTCGATTGCAAAGAAGTGCAAGAGAATTCCAGAACAAAACTTCCCTGGGATATATATATATATATTTCCACGAGGGGGGACTTCTGTTTGCAAGCCCACCCTATCACCCACTCCCCTTTTCCCTTGGAAACTTTTGGGGAGGTTGAACCGAACCGACGTGCGTCGGTTTGGAAGCCGGGGAGCTGTCCAGCTCCTGCAAATCAATTTTGTTTTTGAAGCTTTTTTTCCCTCCCCTCTTGGCCTTTTTATTTTATTTTATTTATGGCTGGGAGGGGGGAAAAAACAGCTTTGCTCTCCGGGAGAGGGAGGGGGGGGTAAGAGAACCCGATGTGCCAGGCAAATAAGATGAAGCATTCATGGGGTGCCTTTCACCCCCATTCCCCCCCCGCCGTCACCCGCTCCCATCCCCAAGCTAGCATGGGGTGCCCAGCCAAAACCTTGGGGGGGGGGGTGCAGGTGGAGGATTAAAATAATCCGTGCCTTGTCTGGTCTGCATTGAATCTGTGCTGCAGCAGCAGCAGCAAATGCGTGTGTGTTTAAAAAACTGTTCTGTGTGTAGGAGTGCAACAAATTTCCTGCCCACTTGGGTTCTTCTGGGGCACTGGAAAATGCCAAGCTGTACTTAAAAATAGCAGTTTGTTCCTGGAGCATTTACCTCTTAGGGTTCTTCTCCCCCCTCCCTCCCTTTCCAGATCTATCTTATTTATTTATTTTTCATTCCCTCTCCCCCCCCCCCCCGGGCTCTACATGCGCCGCAGAAAGAACACACTGGGTGGATGTGTCTGTGTGTGTGTTTGTGCGTGTGGGCAGCCTGGTGTTGGTTGCTGCTGCTACCACCGAAAAAGAGTTTGGGTGGGTGGGCTGCAGAAGGAAAATAGAAAAAGAAGTGAACCGTTATTATTATTCCCCCCCACCCACCCCGGTGGCTGTAATCCATGCCGCCCACCTAAAAATGATCAGAGATCTGGTGGCTAAATCATACGGGTGTCTGTTTAGTCGAACAAAAGAGAAGGACTGATGTGTGTGTGTGTGTTTGTGTGTGAGTGACAGCTGTCTCCTGGCACTTGAAGGGCTGTCACGGAGGAGAAAGGCATTGACTTACCCTCCCAAGCACCAGTGGGCAGGAGGAGAAGTAACGGGGTTGGAAGCTCCTTAAAAGAGAGACCCCCCCCCCAAATCTAGAACGAAGCAGAGAAAATTTCCTAACCGTGGGAATGATTCATCCCTGGTGGAACAGCTTGCCTCCTGGGGTGGTGGGTGCGCCATCCCGGAATGGTCTCCGGGAAAAGATCCGATCAGCCATTTTCATCTTGTGGTGCATGGAAGTTCTCCTGCATGAATGGGGGGGTTGGGCTAGACGACCTCCCGAGGTCCCTTCTGGCCTGAGGATTCTACGTTTCTGGGATCTAACCTCTTTGGAACTGCTGCTTCCTTCCTTCTCTGCCCCCTTCAAGGCAGCTGCAATCTGCATTGTGCTTAGTAGAAAAAAAACTAGAGCCATCTAAACTTTGCTTGGAAATTCTTTACCTTTGTCTTATTATTTGGGATGCTTTGCGTGAGGGGAGGGAAGGCGAGGGAAGCCCCCCCCACATGCGTAATTGCACCTTTAAATCTGGCTACCTTTCCAGGTTACACCTGGAGATCAGAGAGTTAAAGTTTCTCAGATCTGGGATTCAGCGCAGAGTTTTAAATGATTTTTTCCCCTCCCTAATAAGTCCATTCCTTTAGGCTGAGTGAGGCTGGCCTTTGAACAGGTTGGGGATGGAAGCGGATGTCTTTTCTTATTCCTGGGCTCCAGCTGAGTATGTTTAGGCTGCAGGGTCTTCTAGCTATTGAGCTTGAAGGATGCCTGTCTGTCTGAAGGCAGGAGGATTTATTTCTGATTGCAGGGATGGAGAGAAGGTGAAATTCTTGAGTTTTCCCTGCTTTGAAAAAAAAAAAAAAAACTCCTGGCTTCTCCCAGCTTGATTTTCTATCCGTTTTACAACACGTCCCTCTGTGGGGACTCAAACCCGGGGAATAAAATCTCCTGGACCACCAAACCACATGTAACAATGCTCAGATCGGATAGTGTTTTAGATTGGGGGGGGAAGTCCTGCCTAACTTGCTTGGGCTGGTTCTGGAGGGGGTTGCTTGTGGTTTTGACCTTCTTGCATCAAATGGATTAGAAGCCTCCCGCACTCCCCAGCCCTGTGACTCAGAAGAATTCACTGCACACCACAGGGCTTGGTTGAGTGTAAACCTAGGTAGAATCCCCCCCCCCTGCCAATGCCTCTGAAGACTCTCTGCTTTTTTCAATGGGGCTGTGTTTCAGATTAGTAAGAATTGGAGCCTTGCAGAATTCAAAAGCCTGTGTGTGGGGGGGGGGAGGAGGTTGATAGGGAGAGAGAGAGAGAGAGAGAAGGAGAGGGAGGGAGAGGCAAGGAGAGAGGGAGAGGGAGAGAAATGGACAGAATGGGAGGGGGATGGAAAGAGAGGAAGGGAGGGGGAGAGAGGGAGAGTGAAAGGGCTGGAGAGAAGGGGGAAAGAGAAAGAGAGAGAAAGGGAGGGAGGGAGAAGGAGAAAGAGGGAGAGGGAAAGAGGGGGAGGGAGAGGGCGGGAGAGAGGGGGAAAGGGAGAAGGAAAGAAAAGGGGAGAGAGAGGGAGAGAGAGAAAGGGGTAAGGGAGAGAGAGGGAGAGAGAAAGGGGAGAGGGAGAAAGGGGGAGAGGGAGAGGGAGAGAAAGGGGAAGGGAGAGAAAGGGTGTAAGGGAGAGGGAGGGAGAAAGGGGAGAGGGAGGAAGGGGTAGAGGGAGAGAGAAAGGAGGAAAGGGAGAGGGAAAGACGGGGAGAGAGAAAGGGCAGGAGAGAGGGGGAAAGGGAGAAGGAGAGAAAAGGGGAGAGGGAGAGAGAGAGAGAAAGGGGGAAGGGAGAGAGAGAAAGGGGAGAGGGAGAAAGGGGGAGAGGGAGAGAAAGGGGAAGGGAGAGAAAGGGTGGGAGGGAGAGGGAAGGAAAAAGGGGAGAGGGAGAAAGGGGTAGAGGGAGAGAGAAAGGGGGAGAGGGAGAGGGAGGGAGGGGAGAGAGAAAGGGCGGGAGAGAGGGGGAAAGGAAGAGAGAGCAAGGGAGGGAGGGAGAAAGGGCTGGAGAAAAGGGGGAAAGGGAGAAGGAGAGAAAGGGGGAGAAGGAGAGAGAAAGAGGAGAGAGGGGGAGAGAGAAAGGGTGGGAGGGAGAGGGAGAGAGAAAGGGGAGAGGGAGAAAGGGGTAAAGGGAGAGAGAGAAAGGGGGAAGGGAGAGAGAGAAAGGGTGGGAGGAAGATGGAGAGAGAAAGGGGAGAGGGAGAAAGGGGTAAAGGGAGAGAGAGAAAGGGGGAAGGGAGAGAGAGAAAGGGGGAAGGGAGAGAGAGAAAGGGGGAAGGGAGAGAGAGAAAGGGTGGGAGGAAGATGGAGAGAGAAAGGGGAGAGAGAGAAAGGGGTAAAGGGAGAGAGAGAAAGGGGGAAGGGAGAGAGAGAAAGGGTGGGAGGAAGATGGAGAGAGAAAGGGGGGAGGGAGAAAGGGGAAAAGGGCGAGAGAGAAAGGGGGAAGGGAGAGAGAGAAAGGGTGGGAGGAAGATGGAGAGAGAAAGGGGGGAGGGAGAAAGGGGAAAAGGGCGAGAGAGAAAGGGGGAAGGGAGAGAGAGAAAGGGTGGGAGGAAGATGGAGAGAGAAAGGGG